AGCCAGAGAAGTGCATTTTAAGACTAACGTCTTAAAGCCCTAGCATCTAAGGCTATCATCGACCTTATTGAAAATTCTCCAGCACTTGAGATTTTAATCCAAGACCATTGAGTGGTTAGTGAAGATCATTTGCTTATTCGGCCACTCAGGCAGACAAGCTTAAAACAATAAATCTTATGTATGTTAAAAAAATTTCAAAGAATAATTAAGTCAAGCTAAACATGATACAAAAATAAGTACACATCAAGTGGTGGAACTGTTATTACGCAAAATCTGATCCGAACGTGATAAAAGCGCTTCTCTTGCTTTGGACATGACCGCAACCTTCACGAAGGAGCCTTTGAGGACTGTTCCAGGCTGTAAAATTGCTATATATTTCGTCCTCGAGCATTTAAACTCTGAACATTTGTGTTAAGTTAGACGTTAAACTTTCTTCTCCCAATTTTCATGGCTAAGGTAAGGAAAAACAAAATGCTAGAATCTTATATCTATTCTCGGAATACATTCGAAACAGGAATTCTAGTTTACCCACATCTGTCGTTCCCTGTCTCCCTCTTCCTTGGACTGCCATTCTTTCTAAACATTGTCATGCTTACACGTATAGCTTATCGGAATAACATCATGTCATGATGTCGCAGATCGCAAGTCATATTCTTATTTGTGTGGTTTTCGTCACTTAAAAAGTGTTGTGTGTGGAGCGTTACTGTTGCTGCGAGTTCTCGAATACCAAACTTGATAGGAAGCCACACAAACTACATCAAGAAGCCTCTCTATTTTTTCTTATGACTAACGAGCGTGTTTAAAACATTCAAACACGTCTTTGCATTATGCATTTACGTGTCTTGTCTATAACAAAAAACAAAAGAAAATTTTTTAAGTAAAAATATTTTTCTCTTTTTTGTTTTATGAATTTTGTCAATTTGTTTCGTTTAAAAATTGTGTAAAAATTGATAAAGAGGGTTCGCTTTATATTATGTAATGCTTTAGGAATTTTTTTTTTTTTTTTTGTGGACATGATTATCCTCATTACTTTGTACGTAAAAAAGAGAAGCTATTTAATGTTGACTTTTGTGGTTCAAAGAATTTCCTTTTTTTTTGGGTTAAGCAGTTTTTCTTTTCAGATGTTGATGATGTTTGTATGCTTCTTATTAAACATTTCAATTAAGGTTTAAATTAATTGTAAAATTAAATGCGGCTACTGTTAAGTCTTTTATATATATATATATACATGTATATTTATTTTATACACATATGTGTATATAATTGGTATGCATGTATGTATGTATGTATGTATGTACGTATGTTTACGTGGGCATTTGTCTTTATATATCTTTCATTTGTCTTTTGTTGTTGCTGTTGTCTTTATTTTCTACTTGATTTAAGAGTTGATTGTGTGTTGATGATGATCACAATGGTGATGATGATGACGATTGTATAGCTTTTGGCTTTGTTTCATGCATTATTTACAAATGATGCAATAAATTATGGTTTGCCATTTTTGTTGTAGCTGTTGGTTATTTGGGCTTCAGTCTCTCTCCATATCACGGGTGACCTTCTTAATGCTCTTTCGCCGTCGTTCGTATTATTCTTTTAACGTTTAGTTATTTTGCATTAGCTTGCTTAAGTATGCCTGCCTATACGTATGCCTATGTGCGTTTATGTGTATATGTGTTATTTTTTATTTTTTTTTTTAGTGTTGACTGCTTAACATTTGCATGGTTGCGGTTTTTATCGTTAAAATTGTTGAAAAAAATTCACTTGTTCTTCCAGCGCTCCCAATGAATTCCATTTTCAAACAAATTTTTGTTTTGTTTTTTTTTTTTTTTTTGCTCTCACTCCCTTTCGTCCAAATTAAATTAACTTGAGATCAGTTGCCTTCTGGCAATAAAGTTTGCATTCGCAATTTTCTTTTTTTGCAAAGCAAAATCCCATCACATCAGATCACAGACACCCTTATGTTCGTTTGATTGTTTGTTTAAACGCATGCCTTAAATAATTTCGTTTGCGTTTACTTCTAGTTTTCATGGGGAAATCAATGTCAACACACAAGTGTTTTAAGTTTTAAAAGAAAGAAAAATCTTGAAAAAATATATAAAAGTACAAAAAAAAAAAAAAGTACAGCAGCACCAACAACGACCACAACAATAAAAAACAGTTTAAAAAAATGAAGACACTTAAGTTTAGAGTTTTTCTCTAAAAAAAAAAAAAAAAACAAAAACAAAAAGGAAAAGGAAAAAAATTCTCTGACAAATCGCTTAAGACACCAAATTTATTGGCTGGCCTTGCCTATTAAATGCAATTGTGTTAAATCGTTGCCATTCATTACATTAAAAAAAAAAACAAAAAAAATTTACAATCGTTTGCTTTTATATAATTTATAAAGTTATAGCTTGGTTTGCGTTTCAATTAAAAAACAAAACGAAAATTGAAAAAACACAACAACAAAAAAATAAATAAATAAATAAAAAAAAAAATGCAAATAAAAAGCATTGTCAGGCCACATTTTCTAATTGATTTGCGATTGTATGCAAATTTGTTGTTAGCTTTTTGTTATTGTTATTGCTTTTCACTTGGCATCGTTCGTTAGATGTCGTCGCATTCATGTCAACCGTACATTGCTTACAAATTTAATTTATTTTTAATTAGTGCACATTTTAATATATAGTTAAACGGTGGCAGCACCAGCAGCAGCAATGCCAACTACAGCAGCAACAACAATAATAATAATAATAATAATAATAATACAATAAATGCTTGCGTTTGCTTATTCCATTCGTATTAAATTCAATTATTTTCCCAATGCAATTGTATTGAATGTCTGCTATAAAGGTTTATTAAGTTTATCGTAACAATTGTAATCATCTTATGCGGAAACGACGGCAACATGCGCTGGTATATTACTTCGTACTTCAGCGTTTAATCTAAAAACAAATTAACTTAATTGCTTTAGTGAAAGTTCAGTAAATAAATTAACTGTAATTTTGGCGAGTTTAAACGATTATCGTAATCGGGTGTGAGAAGAGTTTATCATAAGATTTTCTATAAATTTAAAAAAGAATTTTACATGAGTTCCTCAGTAATTCTTCTTTTCCTCATGTATTTCAGTTACTTTTTATTCCTTTTCGTAAAATGTGAGGAACGTGAGGAATGTTTAAATTTCGATGAAAATTATAACAATTAAAAATAAAATTAATGTGGGTATATATTAATGATCGATATTCATTGCTAAATTACTGTTATTATGCATTAATGGCAATTATTACAACAATTTATTACTTTAAAGCGCCAAACTTTAATCAAACGGCATTATGCCGCTAAAGGTCACTTTACGGTTACGACACTTAGTTATATTACATTTTAATTGAACGAGTAATTGTTAACGACGAGAATGATTCCAAAAAAAAAAAAAAAAAATTGGAAAATTTGAAAAAAAAAAAAATATTTTTATTTTTTAACATAGTCTGTCTGCCTTTAGCTCGATATACATTCAATAGCTTGCAGCTCCCCTTCTGTTTATCATCGAAGCATTTTCCGAAGCTGGAATATATACACTAGGACATTGCCTTGATGCATAAAACATTCCTTCTATTGCCCCAATCAAAGCATGGACTTATACTCATTTTCCTCAAAGTTTGACACGCATGCTGTCAAATGATTGGCGTAAAGTATTCGGTCACTGCCGAATAGAATTTTCTTACTTTTTCACAAATTCGGTTCATTTTTTCTTGATATACTCTTGACCTCACTTGACCTGCAACAAATTCGCATCATGCTCACCAGTCATTCCTTTTCCTTTTTAAATGGATATTTGAACTGATAATATGTCTGATATTCGTCTTGACAACGAGGACGGCCTCATTTGTACTCTGACACCTAATATTTTCTAGTTATAAGTAAAAGATTAATATGATCCTAAAGTGGAATCAAGTTGAGCTTTAATATTAATTGGATTAACATCTTTCTAATTAAAGCGTTCTATCAGTTAATGGCAAAGGATCTGTCTTAGAACTTAGATCTAGATGGCTGTCAACTATTGTGCGGTGTTTAATTTTAAACTTATAAAATTCATCGACAATTATATTTTTCAGTCAAGTCGTGTACCTTTGCGACTACTTTCATGCTTCTTCAACTTTAGCTGAAACCTTGACTTTAAACGTACCATGCGGGCAGGTTATGGTCTTAAAATAGTTTTCGAAAAGGCCCACAACAATATCAAAAAAAAAAAAAAAAAAAACAAACAAGAAATGTCGATCTGTGACTTCCAGTCGTAAATCGTATTCTGAAGAACTTCGGAGAAATGTCACAATTCTGAAGCACAAGATCTGCTGCCAAATTCTACAAGTGGCCGGACATGAGCGTACAACCTGAAGGGGGATCTTAGTAGTCCTTGGCGGATTCTATATAAACCGAAATCCCTTCGCCGATGTAGTAGTCCATTGCTTTCGATGCCTGAAAATCTAAGCTATAGGCGCAACTTAATATAGTGAAAAGTGCTCTGCTTAAGGAAGTGTAAGAAGAATTTAGACCATTTAAGTCAAGTTAACCTGTAGTACTTCCTTAAGAAGTGGTTTTTTTTTTCAGATTAATAAAAAAATTTAATGGTAGTGGGCATTGAAGATTCGTTCTCAACGTTTTGTTAAGACTTTCTCTTGTGCAAGTACTTTGTAAATAAAACAATTTCCCCATTAAGTCAATTGGTGATGGCTTTGATGATGATGGAAATCATTTGTTATCGTTTATATACGTAGTTGCAGTTGTTTTTGTATTTTGTTTGTTATTCATTGCATTACAAGAGAAGACGCCCGACCTTTTTTATTTATTTTTTTTGCTTTTCCTCTGTCACATTTGCTTTTTTCTTTCGTTTTGCGATGTCAACACATTAATCGCGAGTGGTAATTGATTGCTTTTCGTGTTTGTTTGGCGAAGGCTGCACCATAAATGTTGTTTAATTGAAATTGTTTTTCAATCTCTTATTTAATACAATTTATACTCATTTGCAGACAACAATGAGCCGCCGCGTATAAAATGTAATTTACGTAAACATAAACCGAATCGTAAACCGCGTACACCGTTCACCACGCAGCAACTGCTGTCGCTGGAAAAGAAATTCCGTGAGAAACAATACCTCAGCATAGCAGAAAGAGCGGAATTCTCTTCATCGCTACGCCTTACTGAGACGCAGGTGAAAATTTGGTTTCAAAATCGCCGAGCGAAAGCGAAACGTTTGCAGGAGGCTGAAATTGAAAAAATTAAAATGGCCGCTTTAGGTCGCGGTGGACCCGGAGCGCAATGGGCTATGGCTGGTTATTTTCATCCTGGTCTCATGCATTTGGGTTAATACCGAAATGTATGAGCGACTGAACAATCAGCTTGAAGAAAACACCAAAGTATCAATTGTTTTTTTTTTTTTTTTTTTTTTTTTTAAATTTTATTTTTTATTTAATTCAAGTTTTTAAAAAAACGTGCGTCTAGTTTTTCTACTTTTTTTTTTCGTTTTTATTTGTATTGAAAACTGAAATTCCCCCCAATTGCTGTGATGTTAGCGCATTTTAACACTTAATGAGAAATAAAATTGAAATAGTTTTGTAAATAGAAACAAAATCCCTAAAAAACAAATTACAAAGAAAAAAACAAAAAAAAAAAAAGGAAAAGAATAATGTTTAATAAGTTGCAATTTTTTGTACATAAAAGTCAGAACGCTTTCACATATATTCCGGTCTTATAAGAATACTTATTGGCAAAAAGCACCTTTTAAAAGTTTCCTAATAATTTCTTAAAAAAAAAAACAAAAAAAAACAATTAGAAAAATAGACAAAAAAATTGATAATTTAATAAGCGCGGCGTATGTATGAAGAAAATTCCGATCAAAACAAATTGACGACAAATTAAATTGTCATCACTGATATAAATTGCAATTTGTATAACATTCTAAATAGTTAATTTGTATGTAAATATATATATATATATATATATATATACATATATGTATATTTGTGGAAAAAAAAAAACAATAAACACTCTGGCGTTCGTTTATTTAATTTAAAACAAAACAAAACAAAAAAAAAATAAATAAATAAATAAACAAAACAAAAAGAAAGAAAAAAAACGCAAATAAACTACAAACAGAATCATGCATAAATGCGATAAGCTTGTACAATATATTATAATTGTATTATAATTGGATAATTTTTTTTTTAGTCTTTGTAGTGGTAGACAGTTGTGCAGTAATAGATATACAAACCTACTTGTAGTTGCGTAGTTTATAACCATAGAGCTTAACCCCTAATCACTCATTCATATCATTCATTTTATGTGCACTTTCTCTCTTTGTCTCTCTCTCTCTCTCTCTCTTTCTCTCTCTTTCTCTCCTTCTCTCTATCTCCTTATCGTCCCCTTCTCCCATTCGCTCTCTTCCATTTGAGCAGCTCATCTTTCTCTCTCGGTCCGGCTCATTTAATTCATTAATATCTTTTACTCTCTCTGTCGCTCTCGCTCTGAACTCACCAATCTGTACTTTGTATTCTATAAATTAAGCAAAAACACAAAAAAAAAAAAAATCATGTCGCTAACATTACGACACGACTTAATTAGTAATGCGGTTCATTATATATTTGTGCTCGAGCGATAACATACACGCACATAAACACACACAAATATCTCTTATGGCATATAAATACTTCACACAAATATCTATATACAAAAAAGATTACCATAGAATTAGTATTATTATTAATTGAAAATGAAAAATTAGCTTTTATTTTATTTAAATCCTAATTAATAATAAATTTAATTTTAATTTAATACTATCAACTGTGTAAAGAGAAAATTTAATAAGAAAACAAAACAAAACAAAAAAAAAAAAAAACGAAAACATCAGAAAAAATATACCGTTAAATATAAAAATATACTAATATAAAAAAAAATAATTTTTGAAAAAAAAAAAAATTGAAATTGTTTTTATACCTTCTTATCACAATGCAGAACTTTGTTTATTCCGATCATAATGAATCGAAAGCTTTCATTATTATAAATTTATTATTCTGATTATCGTGTGACGTTACATTTATAGCTTAGGGTTTTAGTTTAAGCTTTTTTCTATAAAAAAATTTTTAATGAAATTCAGGAAAAACCTTTACATCTTTCCTTGGGCGCTGTTTCTTCTGCCACTTCCCCTCATTGTTTCTTTTCTACTCCGGCTTATAATCGACACAGGGCTCCCGTTCGCACTAGACAAAGCAAAGCTGTGAAATTATCGATGCTAGAAAAACGAAATTCTCCGTTAGTACACTCTGCTCGACTGTACATGTCTGCATTTTCTATTTTCGATATCGCAATCAATGATCTTGGTTTCCATTTAACTAACATTACCATATGCTATTTACGAGCGCGTGGTTTCTGTCGTTCGAGAGAGTATAATTCGAAATCTAAGAAGTCATGAGAAAGTTTTTTTTTTTTTTTAAACATTAGTCAATAGTCGAGAACACTTATCATGCTCTTATCTACATACTCAGGGTAACTGTATACATTCAAAGTTTTTTTCTTGCAAAGTGGACTTCTGTGAAAGGTTTGCCTTACTTAGTGATCAAAGGGGACCTGGACGTGGGGATTGCATCAGAGTAAGTATATTGCATGCGTTAGACTAGAGATTTCGAAACTGTGTGACATTTTTGGGAAAAACCTTCATCCTTGGTGCTTCTGCCTACAACTTTTATATAAAGAGTTGCGTTTGCAGGCAAATTAACGCTTGTTTTCTATAAGCGTTTTCTAGCAAAGCACAATTTTTTTTTAAATTAAAGCACATCTTTTCTGATAATTAGAAAGCAATATTTCTCAGCGAAATTTCGGAAGAAGAAATTTGCTTTAATATAAAAGCGCATCGAGACGCAAAATGTTGTTGCGTTGCATTGTGACAGCAACCGTTGCATTCATAACATGTTGCCAATGCTTACCTTCGCTTTTTTCCAAACTTGAAAACATCTTTGTATTTCGAGCCGCGTTTTTCATCAAACGAAAAAGTTTTACGAAAATCATTATAGAAAATGTATTAAATTCGGAAAGACTTCTTAACAAATTTGGAAAGTCTGGAAAGAGGCCTCCATGCCTCGACCATACCCGGCCGTTAGAAAAAGTAAGTTTGCTTGAAGAAAAGCGTTTTAGCTTATTGAATCTACAGTTCCTATTTCTTGCACTACTTCCCCAACTCGAAAGTGCAAGACTTCCTTGGGTAATAAAGCCAATGTTCTTGTTGGAAAAGTTTCACGGTAGAAATGTAATTTTGAATCGGATAACAGGGCGCAATTCTAAAATAAAGTCGAAAGACTAATTAAGAAACTTATCTGTTCAAATCCCTTCGAAGCCTTTATATGGTAACAAGGTCTATCTCCATAACGATAATAAATGAAGAATAATAAGTCCTTGCACACGAACAAAGTTGGCTTTACTAAAGTTGGAAGACGTCGGTTCACATAAGAACTCATTTCGACATAAGATTTCTTATGAAATGTAAGTCTTTACGGGGCAACATGATCTACTCTTCAATATTTATTATGAAAGTTGATTTAAAAATTGATTTTACATCTAAATTTATTGGACTAAATTTCGACCACATTAATCCCCTAAGGGGTCTCTGCCCTGTCAGACTTTTTATGAAATGTAAATCTAACTTGTAGTTTCTTCATAACCAAATTAAATGAATTTCTTTAGCAAAAAAAAAAAAAACTAAATTTTTTATATTTGGACCATATCGACCCATGTTTTGGACTTTCTGCCTTTGGACCTTTTTTAGTACTCTTAGAGGAAACTAAATGTAACGCAGCATTATGGGAGTTCGAATAAAGTACGCAATGGCTGGCATTGGTCAACCAGAACGTTTTTCATCGAATTGAACATTTTTTGTCCTATCGCTTCTATTTATTGTACAGAGAGACATCAAAATTTCTCAACGTGTTTCTACCTACTTATTATACACAGATCGAAAGATTTAGGACTTTTAATGCTATCAACAACAAGCAGATAGATGGACAAGAAAATCAATTTTGTAATATTTCTCATAAATGTTAAGCAATTTGTTTTCATAAAATAGTTGTGTATGTTTTTTTTTCTTATTTATATATATATTTTTTTTTCATTTTAATAATCTTGACATTCTCACAATTTATAATAATAATAATAATGAGAACGACGACGAGAACAACAATAATGGTAATAAAAAAAAAAAAATAATAATAATTTTGCAAACAATGGAATAAATGTAAATTGCAAATATTGATTATTTTCTTTTGTCCACCAATTCGAAATAACTCAGCCAAGTGAGTGGCACTTGTGCTAAACAAAATCTCAGGGACATGGAGCGACGATGGATAAACGTGTCTTAATAGCTATACGGATAACAAGTTCGTGGTCCGTGGATTATGGTGACATTTATGCGAGAGTAATAATAACGCAAAAGACCATAAGCAACACAGGTTTTGTTGCTCTTTGAATGATGTTGTTGTAGTTATTCTTACTGAATAATTCATACTTGCTATGCTTACGAAGTTGTTGCTTGCTTGTCATACAGAAAACTTCTTACACATAAAGTATTGAAAAACCATAATTATCTCGATCGTTACAGTTCCTTTCTCTCTCCGATTCTCAGGTGATCTGCACGGATGATGATGATGATGATGATGATCACGTTATATATATAAAAAAATAACTTCAATATTTAATCAAGAAAGATCCTGAAACTGCATTGAAAATGTATGCTTTAAAGTTTAACTTGTTTTTGTTATAGTTATTGGTGTTGTTGTTGTTGTTGTTGTTATGATTATTATTGTTATTGTTTCTCAGTTATATCGTTTGTTATCTGAAGATGATCGATCAATTGGTCGTCTAGTTTTTACTTCACTTTACTTGCTCACATGCGTTTCGTTGCTTAGCTTATCAGCCATAAATTATGTTAAAGCTTTCATCTATCTATACGCTGTACGGTAGTTGATTGGATCAGCACTTTAATTGAGACATCAAATTTTTACAACAAAATATTAAGAATTTGTAGTAAAACTAGCAGAAGAGCATTTAAAAAAACGTGTAAAAGCAAATAACAAACCTGTTCCATAAGAATAACAAAGAAAAAAAAAAAAAAACTACAAAAAAAAAGATAAATCAAATTTCTTTATTCCAGAACTTTTTTTTTTTTTCATTCTTGTTTTGTTCCTTTTGGAGCGCCACAAGAAGAGGTCGCAATATATTCTTTTTAGTTAAAAGCACAAAAGTTTTGTAATGAATGCAACACTCTCAGGTAACTTTACTGTCTCTGTCCATCTGTCCGTGCGCTATTAATACTGTAAAATTCGTAAACATAAAAATAGAAACTTGAAATTTTTTTTTGCTGGTCTTCTGATTCGCCAGCACAGGGATTGGATATAGGCGTAAATTGCTCGACCGGCTTCACA